ACTGAGCCGCCCCGTCAAGACCGTCTTGTCGCGCTATCCGGAGATTGCGGCAGCCGTGACGTCATTTCAAAATTACATCCTCGTCGGCAGATCACATCCTTCCCGTACACGTCACCCTCACCCCTTCTCCCCGGCCCCCTTTTACTACTTACACAAGCACAAAAGGACGATCAGCAAGCGTATGCACAGATTTAGAATATTTATGTGAAATTAACATCGTATGTGTTTTGGAAATGGTGTGTAAGGTGGCCTTGACTTACTTTAGAATATTATCGCAACAATTTTTAGGAAGAACTGAAGAAACCCACGTAAAATTTAATAGAACTTAATATGTAAACAACTTTTGTAGATACAAGGTGTCACGTGGTCAGCGCAACGTACCCCCAAGGCCGTTCATCTCGCTGTTCTAAACCGGAGCATCTATTTCAGTAAATAACTCCTCAGTTATCGTCACGAGGCTTAGTGGACCCCTTTCCAGACCCACTACTTCTCAGAAAATCTTGTAGCGCCGGAAATCGAACCCGGGACCTCTGGATCTGTAGCCAGGAACTCTTACCACTGGACGTAATTTCGCCGGCAAACGGCGGTCGCTCGGTCGGTATAGTTCGCTTGCGGACTACAGGCCACGGAGTTTTATGTGTAAACAAATTCTTGTCATTATATTCAGTAAGCTTTTGCCATTTATATGTGACACAATACGATAATTTGATTTAGAATAAAGAGCGCCGGTATGTATTCTGTAACCACTCACTTGTCCACTGTTTTCGTGTTTCATGAAGCTGTGCTTTGCCAGTAAAGATTACTTGGCATACGTCACGCTGACGAAACATGTAAATTCTATTTGTTTAGTGTAAATGACATCAAACATCTGAAGCGAATTTTTTCCAGTAACCCTATACAACAAGGGGGAAACAATTCCCATTATAACAATACATGCTTTTAACTTGGGCCGTAAACTCATGTCACACTGTTCACATGCTGCTGTTGTAAATTTAAAAAACTGTGCTACTTTCTGTCACGTTAATAAAGTTCTGATTCCGGAAACTTCGTGCTTCAGAAAATAAACGTCACGCTAACGATTTAAAATATTTTTTTATGTTTTTGTTTTATAATTTTGTTTCTGAATTATATCTAGTGTGATTTACAGAACGTGTGACAGTTTTCTATGGAATAGGGCTGTGTGAGGTCTGGAAATGAATGCGATGTGATTACCGTTACTACACCGATCGATCTAAAAGCCACGTTCTGAACTGAAGAGAAGTATAGAAAGAGAGGACGGATAAAATTACGATTGTTACGTTTATGGCCCCTGTTGAGGTTCGCTACATACGCTACGTACGCTGTGTACCCTCTGCGACGCAGCTAACATAGGGAACATAGCGTACGTAGCGTACGGAAGTCTGTGTGGCCAGTCACATTGGCAATAAAGGAAGATATTTTTCTGTTCGTATAGCGAACATAGCGTACGTAGCTCTCTGTGTGGCCGAACCTTTAGGCGTTCTTTATAGACGTACCTAGCGTAAGACAGAAAATGCTACGAACACGACACTATCGTGGCTTCAGTATACGGACGGGTTTTAGTAAAGAACTTTAAGGCAGCGTCTTCACGAGCGCATATATGCGTCCGTTGTAACGAACGTACTTTATGACCGACGTTGCTGAGGACACCACACAGTTGCAGAATGCTCCGCGTAGTTTGTCTGCAATGGAGCTATAATTAAGTGTAGCATTCGCCTCTCTTGTTTATTTCTATAACGGACGTCACGACGTTCGTTACAACGGACGCATTTTGTGCGCTCGTGTAAACGCTGCCTAAGTGAGCTGCACTGAACTGTCTCAGAATACACTGACGGCGTCACTTAAAAATTGGTAGAATTCAGAGTTGAAGTTCAGCGTCCTATAATAATCATTCCATATAAATAGATTTGAAGCAACAATTGGTGCCCACTGAGGCAGCTTGGATCCAGAACAACTCATCAGTATAGTAAAGTAGACAAGTGGGTGGAAGACCGAAGAATTCGTGTTCGATTCCACGTAGGGGCAGCGATTTTTCCTCTTCTCCACAGTATCCAGGCCAATGAAATCTATATATGAGAATATAATCATCATTTTCATAATTCGCATCATTGGGTATAAAAGGTAAAACTATCCCTGTAACGGGCCGTGAATACCCATAGGGTTGTGAGACGTCGAGGCTACCACATTCTCTGGACGATCGGCTCCCAGATGGTGGTGAAGTTGTCAGCCTTACGCCCTGGCCGCCCTTTACCCCCCAGGTAGATTCCTGGTACTCACTTCTGTTAGAAGTTGAGTCGACCCCAGGGCCATAGTGCTACTGAAAGGATTCGGTCAATTAAAAATCCACCACATTGAAAGTAGAACCCGCGACCTTCCGGGTTGTAGCGTAGTGCCTCAACCAACTACGGTACCACGTGCCCCTTTGCATCACTAGATAGATTTTATAAATTATCATCAGTCGAAAGACCATAGTTTTCAGGAAATATTTCAAGGCTATGTCAGCTTCAGAATATACTAAAACGTTCATATTTATTCAATAATGGCTTATGTCAAGATTTGCTAAAGGGACCTTCCTTCAAAACGTCAGCCTTGATACAGCAAAGTTGATTTCCTTTGTTATGTCCTGTTATTTTTAAAACACTAAGGAATGGAAGTTCCTTTAAGTCGCTCTTGTAGTGCATACTTTATAGCGTTATGATTTATACCAACAAGTATAAGAAAATGCGATGTCAAGACGATTCATGTTATTTATTTTCTAGAATTGTACAAAAACCATAACTGTGAATAAACATTTTTCATTTTAAGATTTTGTTAGTAAAAAGGACGTGTAATTTTGTTTGCCCTGTACTGCTGCATGCAAAATAACAACGTATAGATCAGGTTTACTGCAGATATATTTCAGAGCTAACCGTAAAACAGTGCTATAAATCACGGCCTTCTTTTGTCAGATTAGTAGTTTCCTACGGGAACAATTAAAGTGTTCTTTGAAAATCCTCCTCTATGAATACGTTTCTAACAGCCAGTAATGACCAGGTTACTAACCCGCTCTTGGACCTCTACCGGGTGTAGGTATTTGTTTTTCTATCTTCATTATATGTGCTATCAGAAAGAGACTAATTATTTAAGGAAAATAATTCAAAACTGTTTTTTCGTGGAGAGGGGATGTCTAGAATGCTAAGTTTTAGAAGATCGATAAATATGAGCCTACTGTTAGAACATCAGTAATCAGAGACTAGCTACTGGTTGTGCGAACGAAGGTTCGGAGTTCGAGCCCACGTAAGGTTAAAAATTTTCTCCACGTCGTCCAGACCGGCTCTGGGGTCCACCCAACGTCCTATCTAATGGTTACCGGGGACTCTTTCTCTGGGTGCAAAACGACCGGGGAGTGAAGCTGACCACTCACCAACTAGTGTCGAGGTCAAGAAAACGTGGCGCTATGTAGCCACTCCCCCATACGTCTTCATGGCGTAGTGCTTAATTAGTTAAGCACAGGTGCAACTTTACCTTCTATTGTTAGAATATCAGTCCTCAGGTTTCTAAATAAATTAGGTTCCTTCTGGAAGTTGGTAGACGCCTCTCAGGCTTCACACAACCTATAGCTTGACCGCTGTAAAAAAGTCCAAATTCCTTATGACGTGACGAACCAGCTCCATGGCACGAAGCCCTTCTTCAGGAACGAATATTGCGTAAGATGGTCCAAAATAATTTTCTCTCATAGAAAACAGATATGTATAATTACATTAATAATGTCCAGGCAATGGTCTCCACATAACTCCACTTCACACGAACATACACCATTTCTTTAAGATTAACTTCAGCGCTATCCTCCCGTATGCACACGTCTCTTAGCTATTCTCCTCAGATTTTGTATCCACGTTGTCTTCTCCTTGCTTGCTACATACCCTATGAACATATGAACTTCATTCTGCTATTGGCTAAGGTAAATCTGTCCCTATGCTTAACTATTTAAGAACTACACCATGAAGGCTTATGGGGGGAGTGGATGTATACATCCACATTTTCGTGACCGCGGCACTAGCTGGAGGTGATTGATCAGCTTCAAGCCCCAGCCGCTTTACTCCAGAAAAGAACCTCTGTTGCCCATTGGACAGTAGGCTGGGTGACCCCAGAACCGGTCTGGACGACGTGGAGAAGAAAAAATTCTTGACACTAACGGGACTCGAACTCCGATCCCTCGGTCATCCAAACCGTAGCCAGTCGCTGTACCGACTACGCTATCCCGGCTGCTATGGGCTAAACGTTAATGATTTGGAAATGCTTATGCGATGCACAGTGACGGTGCAGTTCTCACTTGTAGAACATTTACAGTTTATGTAGCGTCTGTATAATTAATGAGGTAACGTAACTTTTTTGTCGATGGCGAATCACGACAGACAGAAACACTGATAACGGTCGAACCAACTTCACTTGTCATTTAGGCTGTCAAGATATCAAGAAATCAAATAAAAACAGAACAACCGTAACTAATTTTGTCCGCAGTTGGTGGTATCTTAGCTATTGTCGTCAGGCTTTTGTGTTTTGAAATGGGTATTTTTGGCGGGAAGCTTCTCTCTCTCTCCTCTTTCTCCCACTTTGGAGCATCGGGCTAATTTATCAGTTTCTTAATAATTTTACAGATGGTAGGACTCCTTGGATGGGTGATCAGCTCGTCGTAAGGCCGCTACCTAAACACAGAATGAACGCAAATACACCAAACATCCTTGCCTTGTGAGGGATTCGAACCCACGTTCCCGGCTTCCAAGCGAGAGACGGCAGTACATGCCTTAGACCGCTTGGCTATCATGACCGGCAGCGGAAAACTTAGGTCTGTGAAACTGCAGGAGGAAATGAATACCTCTCACATGATCTGATGAATTAATTCGTGTTGACAGAAAAGTGATACATTGTGGACTAACCTTGAGCAAGGTTTCGCTAGATGAAATATTTCAAGAATCACCCTTGTTATTGTCTTTTGTCCGCAGCTTTGACGTTCGAGGGAAGCACTCCGAGGTGGCTTCTCACTGGAGGGATAAGGAGATCCTGGACGAACGCGGGTACTTCCTTACTGTCACGGACCCCGCCACCCTGTCCCTGAACAACGTGGACGAACGTGATGAAGGGGAGTATCGTTGTCGTGTCGACTTCCGGCAGTCCCCCACCCGCAACTCCAAGGTCCGCCTCACTGTCATCAGTAAGTACCATAATTACCTTCTTTTCATCAGTCATTTTATCCCTTTGTTTTTGGAACAAGACAGAAGATGTAACACCTCAGTTCTTTGAATTTTTATACTAACTTAAATGTATATTTAATGTATACTGCATTTAAGGAATTGCTTTTACTCCCGTGTCATTTATTCGCCGTCTATTTTAACGACTCTGTTAGTAGCTTAGATTATGTGACGTCGAAATATGCCATGGTTATTGAATATTAAATTCGAAAAAATACGGAAGAAAGCAGTGATGGCCTCATTTTGGCTACTATTCCGGCATATGCATGGAGGAACTGAGGAAAAGAACGAAAAATGTCAGTAATAATATCTGGTCTCGTTCAAGAGTCTGACCGGACGTCTCCCGAGCCCAACTCTCGCTTTCATCTGCTACAAATTATAAATGTTTAATAAATCCAATTATCAATCCATACCCGCGTGTAATCACTAGCACATGACAATATTTTTATGTACTAGATTTACAAAACTATAATTTTGCCTATGGTTCTGTATGGGTGTGAAACTTGGTCTCTGACATTAAGGGAGGAACATAGACTGAGGGTGTTTGAGAACAGGGTGTTGAGGAGAATATTTGGACGGAAGAGGGATGAAGTGACAGGAGGTTGGAGAAAACTGCATAATGAGGAGCTTCATAGCTTGTACTTTACTCCAAGTATAATTAGAATGATCAAGTCAAGGAGGATGAGGTGGGCAGATTATGTAGCACGAATGGGAGAGACGAGGAATGCGTATAGGATATTGGTGGGAAAGCCAGAAGGAAAGAGACCACAGGGAAGACCAAGGCGTAGGTGGGATCTTAGAGAGTTAAGATGGGATGGGATGGATTGGATAGATCTGGCTCAGGATAGGGACCAGTGGAGGGATCTTGTGAACACGGTGATGAACCTTCGGGTTCCATAAAATGCTGGGAAATTCTTGAGTAGCTGCAGAATTGGCGGCTCCTCCGGAAGGGCTCACCTCCATGAGTAAGTAAGTAAGTAAGATTTAAGGAGTACGGAGTGTGGCGAGCATTTTCCAATATTGCTTCGGAAAACATCTGTGTATTGCACCATACAGTCAGGACTGACTTTTTCCGTTTTGAGCCCAACGGTATCTACCTCACAGATGGATCTCTTTCATTCGCCAAGCAGGGAGAGGCCAAGAAATCCATGAAACCGAAACTAGAGGCATTCGTCGCGATCTAAATGCTTTATGCTATCTATCAGTTCCCTGTTTTTAAATGTGAATTGCAACCGCATCTTCTCCGATACTCCCCCTGCATTTCGCGTAATCGAAACGCTCCAGTGCATATGCACTAGATAGCATTGCTCCAGCGAACAGTGTGTTCTCCCGGGATATTCTCTTCGTGTCTGTTATTTATACATGCTTCTTCGCCTGAAATATATCTATCTCATTTTTATATATATTTTTATTTCTGCTTTAGTCTCTTTTTATTCCACGTTGTTACCTTCACCGGATCATTTCCTTATGCACACCGCAACGTTACTTTGAATTCCCGCTGTTTTGTTTTCCAACTCGTCGACTTTCTGTCGTGTGTCTTTGATATTTCTAGATATCTTGATAATTTTAGTGTATGTAATATTTTCTTTCTCTCTTCAAAGTTCTTGTGATATTTCAGATTTCAAACAGCAGATGATTTGGATATTCTGATTCGTCATTATTCTCTCATTTACACTGAGAAAGGCAACCTACGAAATACTCGATCTCAGGATTTTCTACGAATTAATGGGATAAATCTGAGACTTCCAATAGTGAACCCTTTCTGTAGTAGTAAAGACAACACTATCGAATAGGCTGACGTAGCTGTAAAACTGCACCAGACTTGTATTCGGGAGGTTCTCGGTTCAAATTTCTGTCGAAATACCGGCTGTTCTGAGATTTTCCTCGGTCTCTTCATGCAGTTACGGATAGTGCCTCGAGTAGGCCACAACCTCTTCCCTTCAAACCCTACCATTCGACTGTACATAGTGTGGCATAACTGACGGTGTCATAAAGTAAAGCAAGAGAAACACCACACAAAGTCAATACCATGAACCATATCTTATTAGAGCCCAAGAGTTGCTTTGTCGAAACGTTCACAGTTACGCGAGCCCGGAAGTGATTGCCTGCTTCACGAATACTCCTATTGTTCTTCAAAGTAATGAATATATTTTGCAGTGCTATAGGAAAATAAAATAATACATTAGCAGTTAATATCTTGAGAGAACTATTGTGATGTTCCTATTATTTCAAGGCATGAGAAAGTGTATGCAATTCCAAAATGATTCTGCCGATTTGAAGGTAACTTTCTTCCGGGATAAGACCCCAGTTATTTTGGACGGATAGGGACCATCGCCATAACTCTAGATGGAGGCAGAGGGTTTCTCCGAAACTTCTACCGAAGTACACTGCGGCACATTCGAGAAGACAGTGAACTCACAGCCACCGTCATGAGAACCACAAATGTGACATTGTGCCAATTTGTTTTCTGGATAATTTTGGTGTAACCGTAATTCTTTTACCTAAATACAATATATTACTTGTAAACATTATCACGGTATGCATTCGCAGCTAGTTAATATATAAATTTGAGTGAGGCAAAATTACGTAATTTTGCATTATTTAGAGATACACAAAATGCTTGGTGGTACGCAGTAGCGTAGTTGGTTGAAGCACTATGGTACAAGCCGGAAGGTCGCGGGTTCGAGTCCCGATGAGGTGGATTCTTTTCAATTTACTCAATTCTTCCAGCCGCACTATAATCCTGGGGTCGAATCAGCCTCTAACACAAATGAGTACCAGGAAACTTCCTGGGGGCTAAAGGGCGACCGGCGCGTAAGGCCGCCGATTGTCTAGAAGATGTGGGAGCCTCAACCTCTCACAAGCCTATGGCCCTCCACGGACTGTTACTAGGATAAATTCATCTTTACCTTTTACACAAAATGACTGCTAAAGGGAGACCGGCGCGTAAGGCCGCCGATTGTCTAGAATATGTGGGAGCCTCAACCTCTCACAAGCCTATGGCCCTCCACGGCCTGTTACTAGGATAAATTCATCTTTACCTTTTACACAAAATGACTGATAGCTATGTTCAATCTTGACGCTGTGGAGCAATGTGGTGATAATACATCAAAAAGTGCCAGCCCATTAATTAGCTCACTTTTCCATAGACGAGAAATCACCATGCCCATTCACGTTAATGCGTGTCTTCCCTTTTTCTTCTTATTCTTTAATAATATATCTTTCTTCAAATTCGCTCTCTTTCCAAATGCCAAATTCTTCTTTAAAATGTTATTTTCATTTACACCAATTTCTTTTTGGTCCTTTATACCGCTACTGAACTCACCGTTTGTGCCCTTATTTCGTCCATGACGCTTTCTCTTATTCAAATTGTTTTCTTTCTCATTTCGTATTATGTTCAACGCAATTAATTCAAACGCCGCCTGTGTAATACTGTCCTGCATATTTATGCTTTCTTTTCTCTTTCATTTTCTCATCTTCACAGCGTCCAGACCGGATGTGGTGCCCATCCACCCTCCTATCCAATGGGGTACGAGAGAGGGGCGCGATTTCTCTGCGGTGAATTGCCCGGAGAGTGAAGCTATGGTCAAGAATTGACGAACTATACCTCCGCTCCCAAATATATTTTCATGGCTTATTGCGTAACTAATTAAGCAATAAGCCTTTACCTTTCATTTTGCCGGAACGATTACTTAGCACACTTTTGACCGCCACATTCTTGCTCAAGGCATTTAATTCTAAGGGCCAACTGAAGTACTGGTTATCAAGTGGGCGTTTGTGCTCGTCGCTCTTGCATCGAGAAAGGCGCCGCTCTTCTGCTGACGTAGCATACGTGCTCTGTCACATTCATTTCCGGCAGAAACACAAATATGCCATCCCAATAACGCAGACATAACCATTCAAAATTTAGACTTTGAGCGGTTATTTTTAATTTACCAAAAAAATAATTTGAAATGTGACCAACCTAAACGTTGCTTTAGAAGGTCTGTTATCACTGAATGAGTCAGCTACATGTATAGGTCCCTACTTCAAACTCCGTCAGAAACGTAACGTATATACAGTCTTTAGTCTCCAGTGATTTAAGCACAACTGGCCTAATGTTCACTTATTTACAGATATGCACTTTCTTACAGTTATAAAACACTTTATGTATCCTTTCTCCAACATATCTGTAGTTTTTACCGAAACTGATTAGTTCCTAATCGATGTTGAATATACTGTAATGAGAACCTCAAACCGGATCATTGCGCATGTTTGTAGTCGACATTTCCGTTTATATATGGTTGTGTAACTTGTTCACTGACGGAGGGTGTGTGAGAACAGTGCCCTGAGGAGAAACTGGACCCAAGAGGAATGAAAAAACAGGAGGCTGGTGAAAACTTCGTAATGAGGAGCATCATAACTTGTACTCCACGTTGCTTGAATCCGCAAGCGAACTATACCGACCGAGCGACTGCTGCTTCTCGGCGAAGTTAGTGCCAACTTAAGCGGATAGAGGGTGTCGCGTGGTCAGAGCAACGAATCCCCACGGCCGTTCGTACTCTTTGCCAAATATAATCAGAATGGTCAAGCAAATGATGAGATTAGCAGGGCATGTAGCACCAATGGGAGATAAGAGAGATGCATACATGATTTTGGCGAGGAAACCGGAAGGAAGGAGACGTTTAGAAAGACGGGAGGATATTACATAAATTGAACTTAGAGAAATAAGATGCAGGGTACGGAGTGCGTGGATCTGGCTCAAGATGAGGACAGGTGAAGAGCTCTTTTGAACACGGTAATGAACCTTCGAGTTCCATAATGTCTAGAAGTTTTTGAGTAGCTGAGCGACTGTTGGCTTTTCAAGTACGGCTCAGCTCCGTGATGATATTTGCTTCATTGTTTAGTAACCAAGAGAACACTGGTCTGAAATTAATCGTATAATCTCTTTACGTGTTCCCTTAATGTCAATAAATTCTGGGAA